AAAAAAAAAAAAAAAAGAACAAACAAATACATGTTGCTCAATAGTGAAAAAGGAACATTCAAGTTACTCTCATTTTCTGGTTCAGAGTTTATGAAGATATTGTTGAGAGAAGTGAGAAGAGATTATACAATTAAAAAAAATTTTTTTGCCATTTTTGTTTTTTAATTTTTTTTGAGGCAAGGTCTTGCTGTGCAGTTTATGCTGTCCTTGAACTCACTGTGTAACTCAGGCAGGCCTTGATCTTGCAACAGTCTCAGCCTCTCCTGAGTGCTAAGATTACAGATGTGTGCCACCATGCCTGGCTTATCATTTTTATTTAAACTAGACCCTTTTTAATTTAAATAAATTTTGGATTGAAGTAGAAAGAGAAAATAGGACAGAAAGGGGTGCTCAGGAAATCAATTATCAAAGGGCAAGAATGAGTAGGGGGAATTGCTAGAACTGACCTTAAGAAGGCAGACATTTTCCAGAGTCATTTAGTTTTAGGTAAACTGATGCTTAAAGGAAGGCTTTCTGTGGGCTGAAGTGATGATGGTTGTCACCTTGTCACCCAGCCCAGGGACCTTTGCCTGATGACTGAGTGAAATGGGATGCTTAAAGGTGGATGGCAGTGCCTTCTTATGTTTATTGTTTATTTTAAATAATGATCCTTGTTGGCCATGCTTGGCTGGAGCCCCACAGGGCTGCTTGGAAGCTGTGAAACCGCTAAGAGGCAGTACAGTATATCTTTAGTGATAATGAGGATAATAGAAATAACTTAATTTTTTCTTTCTGGGTAATATACTATTAATTTTGGTAGTTTCATTATTAAATAGAATAAATATTATTACCATAATCATAAATCAATGAGAGATAGTTGTATAGAAACGAGAAAATATAAAAGTAAAAAAAAAAGAAAATATAAAAGTATACCTATGTGAATGAAAAAAGACAAAAAGTATCAAATTTAAGAACTTGTATACTCCAAAGGACACTACCAACAAACTGAAAAGACAGCCCACAGAGTGGAAGGAAATACTTGCAAATTATATATCTGATATATCTTATACCTAGCATATATACATACAATTTAATAATAAAAATGCAAAAAGTCTGATAAAAAATGGGCAGAAAATCTGAATCGTTGTGGATCTTCCAGAGAAATCAGATGGCAAATAAGTATGTGAAAAGATGTTCAATGTCAGTAGCCATATACAAATCAAAACTACTGTTTTATTCCCACTAGGATAGCTTTATTTTTTACTTACTTATTTTTTTGGTCTTTTTTGAGACAGGGTCTCAGTATGCAGTTCAGGGTGGCCTTGAGCCCAACTTTGTAGCCAGGCTGGTCTTGAACTCGCAGTGATCCTCCTGCCTCAGCCTCCCAAGTGCTGGGATTACAAGTGTGCACCACCACAGCCGGCAGGATAACTTTAATAGTAGTAAGTGTTAGCAAGGATGTGGAGAAATTGGATCTTTTATCCATTGCTGGTGAGACTAAAATGGTACAGCTGCTTTGGAAAACAAGCAGACGGTTCTTCACAAAGTAGTATTATCATGATATCCAGCATTTCCACTGCTTGATATACTCAAGAGAAATGAAGATGTGCACAAATGTTGACGGCAACATCATTCACGATAGCTAAAAAGTGGGAGCACTCCATATGTCATCAACTGATGAGTGAGAGAAATGTGTGTCCGCGCAGTAGAGCTGTATTTGTCAATAAAGAATAATGAAGTACAGTGATATCTTGGTTCACAAACTTAATTCTTTTCACAGTTCAGGTCACAAACCAAACTGGATGAGAACCAAATCAAATTTACCTATAAGGTCGACATTGAACCTAACTGTAGAATTTGGTTTGGTTCTCGTCCATATCAGTACACGACCATAATTGTGGAAAGAGTTAAGTTCATGAACCGAGGTACCACTGTATTAAAACCTACTAACCCATGTTGGAACCTGAAAATAATTAGCTAAGAAAAAGAAGGTGGTCATAAAAGACCTCATGTAAACGTTATGAGTCCACTCTATGTGAACTGTCCAAAATGGGCAAATCCACAGAAAACAAAAGCTTAGTTGTTGCCTTGGATTGAGGAGTGCTACAGAGAAAAGACTTTGATTTCTGATGAGAAGGACTTTTCTTTGGTGTGATAAGAGAAAGTATTCTGATATCAATTGTGATGATAGGTGCACTCAGCTTGGTGAATATAGTAAAAGCCATTGCATGTAAATTATATCCCAGTAAAGCTGTTTTTAAAAATATTAATATTTCTAATATAGAAAATCAAAATAGTTTTACAGCTCTTTCAAAACTTAAGTACTTTTACAGAGCTAAATAGGCAAAAGAGTGAGTGAAGTCATGTTCCAATTGGCCATGGTAGAGTTTATTTAAAACTGCATTTATTTACTTTTTTAGTTGTTTTTTTGTTGACGCATTAAAATTTCTTAACTTAGAAAGCCAAGTTTCCATTGAGGCTAGAGAGTCTATTCCAGAGAAGAAAACCACACTATACGTTGTGGGAGGAGAGTCCACATCCTTTCATTAAGCTTGATGTTGTCTTTTATGTTCCTGATTGAGAGTGTGGCAGATATATTTAATTAGGTGAAGAATTTCCTGTAGAAATTTAGCCTCTGCCCTCCCACTTAAACTGGCGGTGAGTGTGGTTTGTGGAGCACTCGCCAGCAATCACAGAGTGCCATTCTGGGGGCTGGGGATTTAGCTCAGCGGCAAAGCGCTTGCCTGGCAAGCGCAAGGTCGTGAGTTCGATTCCTGGTACTGGAAGAAAAGAAAAGACAAAAAAAAAAAAAACCAAAAAAAACCCACAGAGTGCCATTCTGTGGAGGGGATGTGTTTATAAAGGGCAGGAAGGGAAAATGTTTCATTTGGGTAAAGAGATGGTTTAGGGGATAAGATCTTGTTGTAACTGGGAAACAATATTTAGTTGTGAACAACAGGATTCGGATTTTTATCAGAGGATAAAAACAAAAATTTTATTGTTAGAAATTTGTTTTCTGTTAATGTTTTATGTATTTTTCTTTCTTAGCTTTCAAAACGGTTACAAGAAAAAGGATGGAAAGTGGGAGACCTCCTGCAGACTGTGCTTAAATACTATGAAGTGGTGGAAAGAACTTCCAGTGAGGAGAGGTGCAAGTCGCTGTTTGACTGGCTTTTGGAAAATGCATAGTATAAACCTCAAATTAGTGTATTTTATTATTTGTTTTGAAAGGGGAAGAAACAGACAAGTATGTTTAGGGTAAATTTGAATAGTAAATAGGAACATTTTAGGTGATTTGGGAGAAAAGTACAGATTTTTAAGTGCTTTCTGTCATCACAAAGTGTATATAGTTCATACTTTTGTAATCCCTGTTAAAATATTATCTTTACCTTTCTTCTGTGCACATATGTAGTGTGTATAACATGTATATGAAGGAAGGAAGAAAGGTCTTTCCATAAGGTTTCTGGGGACACTGTCTGACAGCATTGTTTTTGCATCCGAACAGTGCTGCTTGAAACTGCAGAGATAGCTAGGGAGATGGTCCAGTGATAAGTGACTTACACTTGATCCTTTACAAATGGGTATCTAAGGACACATCAGTAACCAAAACGTAAAATTAAAGCTGGTTTGTTTGTGGTAAGTTTTTAGACTTTTTGTCCTGTTTTTAAAAATCAGTTTTATGTCAATAGCTTAGCTATTGGCAGCTTTGTGGTTCTCTCCAAACTGTAATTTTTTAGCAGGAATATTGTTGTTTTAGGTTTCTGTAAATACCATAAGGGATAGTTTCCCAGGCCTTCCATCAAATGACATTATTTGCTAATGCTACCAATCCTTAGGGCATGAAAGTGGGGTGGGGTGTGTGTGTGTGTGAGAGAGAGAGAGTAACAGTGTGTGTGTAAAGGGGAATTTTAACCTTGCCCAGTGGTTTGTTTCCTCTTTTATTTTACTCTCTTAGTTAAAAAGCGTTATTAACATTAAAAAGGTGCTTTAAAATAAAATGTCTATAAAGATTGTGCAGTAAGAATTTTGGACTTACAAATGAAAATTCAAATTGAAAAACAGTAAAATTTTAAAAATAATGTTAATATGGAAATGCATTCAGAGGAGCCTAATGTGTTTCATTGTTGGATTTTTGAAAAAAAAAAGAGAACTCTACTTACCAAGAATAAGTTTTCTGTAGAAAAATTGTGAATCTCCGCCCCAAATAAAATGTATCTGCAGTAATTTGTAAAGTTCTCTGCATGATCTTTCTGGGCTCTACATTTCCTACTGTATCTTCAGAAACTGCAGGGTGACATGAACAGAAGGACCAAGATTGTGTCTTGGTTTTACATGTGTAGGTATGTATGTGCAGCTTTTTAATTTTTCCAGTAGTGGATTTTATAATCTAGGATAAACCACCTTTTGTGTAGGCTTTGATTTTTTTACTCTTACCACATTTTTTTTCCTCCAGACATTACTCTACAAGCTACACAAAATGTAGAAGACATAGTACCTATCAGGGAATAGGGAATCAGGGCAGTTACAGCAATTTGAGTTAACAGTTATAGTAAAGAAGTATGTTTTATAGTGAAAGATTCAGATTTGCTTTTTAAGAAAAATGTCAAAATACTTAAATATTTTGAGTTTACACTGTAGACTTCGTTTTTTTCTCAGTTTAAGGTACAGGTATAGGATGATCCCTAATGATAAATTTTCCTGAAGTTTCTTCAAGTATTTTTTGAGGTAAAGAAAGGAAGGAAATATATAACTGGGATTGTTTCTGCCCTTAGTTTTTAAAAATTTCAGATGAGGCCACACTGGACTGGAGTTTAAATGTTAGGACCAGGAATGTTTACTCTTAGTTGTAAGGTAGATTCATTGATGAAGTTCAGATTGCATTTTTACAAGTAACTACCAAATTGTATTTAGTAGTTTGGGTGTAAATATGGCTCTTAGTAACAACAAAGCTGGGTTCTGAATTTCTTTTAAAGTGATAGTGTATTTTTTAAAAGTTTCTGTGTTTGAAATGCTTCTGTTAATTTATGTTAATGATATAATCATTTTGAGCTAAAGTTTTTGACATACTCGTATTTCCTTTGCATTTTGCTGAGTTCAGAGTTCCATCATCTAACAACTGCCTACTGACAAACCCGTCATTAGGTGTTGGAATGTGTGATAATAATAATAGTGGAACTCCACATTTGCATCAATTCAGTGCGGGGGCATTGAGAAAAGTATTAAATATTGGTATATGTGAAAAGATGTTGAGTTAAGCTTCCTTGTATAGAGAGAATGTTTGAATAGTATCTTTTAATCATGTACAGTCTATATTAACTTTCTTTAAAGACTGATTTTTCCAAAGATGTTATACATTTGTTTGGTTGCTCAGTCTTGAAAACAGCCTTGTTAAAAAAAAATAAAACAGCCCTCTTGAGGACAGCTCTGTCTTATTTAATTACAAATCTGCTTGACGTATTTATAACATCGTAATATTGCTATTCTGTACATTTTGGACCTAATGAAATATGTCTTATTCAAAATTGTGAAAATTTTGATGTGCAATGAACTGAATTCTTTGTTTACCTGTTTTAAAATCATCATGTGATTTGTAGAAAGAAAGTGAATGAAACCTCCAGTAAGAGGTTTTCAGAACATTAGTTCAGTCTAAAATAGGGCAGTTCTTTCATGCTCTTTTCCTAAGCCAAGGTTAAATTACATTTGTATTTTGGGTATTATTAATTTTGGGTATTATTAATATTGATTTTGAAAATATTACTGATTTATTAAAAGTAGTGATTCATTTATAAATCACAGAAGGAAGTGACTCTCTATTGGATGAATGAATTAATATAACTTAGTGGCAGTATAACACCTTTGAGAGTAACTCGGTGAACATAGGTGGTACCTTTGTACTTTAAAAAATGTTGCGCTTACCCTTTCAATATTGGTTGTGAATTAATTCAGTTCATAATAATTTAATTCTACTTAAAAGTTTTATGTTGCTGGTAGGAGAATTTAGTTACTTAAGTACACTGTGTATAAAATGAAGATAATTTACCTATATAACATAGGTAAGCTTGACATTACTGCATGTTCTCCAAATGCAAAGTGTAATTTTTGTTCATAAGAGTCCAGTCGGATGGCTATTTAATTTCTTGGCTAATATTATTCCACAGTTAATATCATTAATTTCCCACCAGTATATCACTTTATATTTTATGCTTTTCAAAGAAAACTTTACGCAGAATTTTAAAAATGATGCATCCATACTCAGGGGTTAGGGAGGATACTTTCCATTTAAAGCCCTGTCCACCTGTTACCTGCACAAGAGAATTAGAGCATCAGTGGGAATTAGAAAAGTTGTACTATGAAGTGAGTTGCATTTTTTTCTCATTTTCAGAAAAAACCCTGCAAAACATTTAATCATTTACTGTATTCTTGCTCCAAAGATGCAGATACAGTGTTAGTCACTCTTGTCACTTTAATTTATTTATTTTTTTAATCACCCATGTACATTCCTTTCATTTACAGTTACAGTTCTAGAAGTTCTCATTTGTTATTGTAATGTTTGAATACTGTTTTAATGCCAGGTTTTAATATTGCTGGATTTGCTACCTTTCATTACTTGTGCAGTGTTAAAAGTAATACACATTCTTGTTTAATTATCAGATATATAACAAAAGAAGCTTTGAATAATTACAACTTTATTTGGCTGTGCTGAGTTATTATGTAAAGATCTTATACTGTGTAGCAGTAACTTTTTTTGCTGTTCAGTAATTAACTGTTTGCTTACCAAAATATTAACTTCAGGATGCACTAAACTTTTGTTTTAGTAGTGGTGTTTAAAAAGTTTCAAAAATTACTTTTGTAATAGTTTGCAATTAATTGTTCCTTTTCAGTTGTTTAAGCCTGTGATCTTTCCCAACTAAGAATTCTACAATAAATTTAAGAAATCCCTACCTTTGGTTTTCATTCTGTAATACTTCATTAATTACTCTGTGCTGAATTAAAAAGCACGCAAGACGGTGGTAACAGCAGACAGAAGATCTAAGTGCTCACATACAACACTTCTGTAATAGGAGACATAACAGGACCAGATGCTCACATCTTGTGTCTTAGTTACTCTTCTCTCACTGCCGAGACGAAATACCAGATGCCCAAACTTAAGGAAGGAAAGGTTTATTTAGCTCACAGTTTGTGGAGGTTTCAGTGCATAATCCGCTGGCTCCAGGGCAGAGTGGCACATGGCAGAGGGCAACAGTTCATGGTCAACAGTTCATGGGAGACAGCAAAAGTGGGAAGAGCAAAATGGGGGGCATAAGCCTCTTTTCCTCCCTTACATTGTATGCAGGCTGCCCACCCTAGGGTGGGTCCTTCACACCTACACCATCTCCCTGCCCTTCTCTTGCAGGCTCAGGATGTTTACAGTGTGAGAACCGTGGCCCCCTGCTGAGTCAGTTAAATTTATAAACTCTCAAGTTGACAAATTTATCAACTGTTACACTTGGTGCTATAGTTTGTGTCTGGATGTCCCCCCAAAGCCTCATGCAGTTATGGGGTGGGCTTCTAGAGTTTATGGTTGATTCATGGTCCAGTGCTGGAATTATGGATGTGAGTGCTATACCCGCCCTGGGGTGGGTAGTTTGCATACAGTGTAAGGGACGGAAAGAGGCTGCTTGCTGCTGCTCCTCCCCTTTTGCTCTTGTTGCATTTGCTGTGTTCCGCTGCTGTGAACTGTTGCCCTCTGCCATGTGCCACTCTGCCTTGGAGCCAGCCAAGTATGGACTGAAACCTCCACAAACTGTGAGCTAAATAACTGGGCATCAGGTATTTTGTCTCAGCAACAAGAGAAAAGTAACCAAGACACTTGGGTTTTGAGAACAGAAGTTAGGAATACTGTATTTTTAAATTGGACACCTACTTGCAGGTGCCTCTGAACCTTGATATAAGTGACTTAAAAGCCTGGCTGCACGATTTGTTTGGGGTTTGGTGCAAAGTAGAACATTGTGATTGTCTGGGACATGGGTATGTTTCTGAAATTCTCACAGCCTGCTTTGAGCACTCCTTTCGTAGTACATAGGGTGCGACTCGCACCCTTTCCAATCTCCAAGGGTCCCTTTAGAGAGACAACCACCAGTACCAATCTCTGGAAATAGTGGAGAAGCAATGTTTAAAGTAATAATAATAATAATAATTATTATTATTATTATTTTTTGAGACAGGGTCTTGCTATGTAGTTCAGGCTGGCATTGAATTCCCTATGTAGCGCAGGTTGGCCTCAAACTCATGGCAACCCTCTTGCTTCAGCCTCACAAGTGCTGGGCCTATAGGCATGTACCGCCACACCCAGTGTGTTTATTACTTTTATTTCTGAGATAAAATACTCAACACCCAGAGTTCAAGGGGGAAAGGTTTATTTACCTCATAGTTTGTAGAGGTTTCAGTCCATAGTTGGCTGGCTCCAAGGCAGAATGGCACACGGCAGGGGGTGTCACAGAGAACAGTTCATGGTATCCACAAGATAGACAAAGCAACAAGGGAGGGATAAGCCTCTTTTGGTCCCTTATAGTGTGTGCAGGCTACCTGTCCTAGGGTGGGTGTAGCATTCACACCCTTTATCCTAGCCTGAACTATGCCAAACAAATCACACACCCTTAATCCCAGCATCACACACTAGATTCAGCCATCTCTGAAAAACCCATGTGAGGCTTTGAGGGGGCATTTAGACACAAACCGTAACACCCAGCTAAAGTAATAACTAAAATAGAAGACAGGTGGCCAGCTAAATACAGTACTTATTTAAGTAATGATTCCGGTATACTAAGGCAGTATCTCATATCATTGAATCCAACATTCACCCTGTCATCAGTATTTCCACTTCCTGTGTGACAAACTCAAGCTGAAAGAGATTGCTGTGTTTTTTTTTTTTTTTTAAGTTCCTTGCTTGCTGCCTGCTGTGGTAAAAATGGCCAAGGCCATCAGGCTTGAAACCATGTTCTGCAACAGAAAGATTTCAAAAAGGCAATTAAAATCACTTGTAATAACACAGAGACAATAACTACATTGGTATACTTCTAGTTTTTCCCTGTGGGGTTTTTGTTCGTTTGTTTTTGTCTTTTAACTATGCAGTTCAGGCTGGCCTTGAATTCACTTTGTAGCCCAGGTGGCCTCAAACTTGCAGTGATCCTCCTGCCTGAGTCTCCCAAGTGCTGGGATGGCAGATGTGTGCCACCACCCCTGGCCTCCCTGTATTTTTGTATCTTAAACAATCATGCTTGCTTTTACTTCATAAATATCTGTCAAGACACTTTTAAAAACATGCTGATCTTTGGGCTTTCCTAGTTGGATCTTACCATTTTGATACTGGAAAATAAAACTCCCAACCTGATCGATATCTAAGACAAGTTCATGTTCTCTAAAATCGAAGAATGAATTTTAGGAACAACGGAGGTTAAGAGCAGAGTATATTTATTGAGGGAAAGAAAGCTCCTGTCCAAGAGAGGGACAGAAGAGGGCCCGAGTGGGTTACCCCAGACTCTTGTCTTTTCTAGGTACTTTTATAGAGCAAAACCACGAGTTGAGGCAGGTCCAACGTAAGGGAAAAATGGACAAAACTATGGTCAGCCAATAAGAATTGTTCGGGTAAAATTGATTAAATTAGGATCAAATGGGGAAGTGAGTCATGTAGCAAGTGGGCGTGAATACAGAGCAGGGGCTTTTCCTGTAGGGGGTTGGGTCAGAGACTGTTCAAGATGATGCTACCTAATTAGAATATCAATCCCTGATGTCCATCCCTTGGGAGGTAAGTGGGTGTGTTTGTTTAATCTTTAGTTTTGAGATCTGGCCCAAAGCAAGTACCACCTCTCCATTTGTAAGGTATCTTGTCTTCCATACTGGCCCTGTCTGATTGCCTATAATATTTCTGTCTAACTCAGCTGCCTATGACAATTCTGTTAGCAGGAGATATCTTAGAGCTCTTTGTTCTGTTATGTAAGTGTAGTCTCTTTGTTTTGAACTTCAAGTTCTTTACAATGTAAGGATTTTAAGTAGATCATTTGAGAAAGACAGTATGTTAAAAATAGATGTTTGGTTAATTTCCAGAAACCAGGTTAAATATTAGCTTAAAACTATGACTTTCTTCTCTCCTTGTCTTCATTCCTAATCTTCCTGCCTGAACTGACAGCAACACAGACTGTGTCATGCATGGTTTCCATGTCCTACAGATAGATCCTGCTGAGGAGGAAGTTATAGAAGGAGCAAAGGTCCTCTCCAAGACCTTGGCCAGATGACTTCACCTTGTCTCCTGATTGAAAATCAAGCTCATCTTGCCCCAGCAAACTGGCACAGCCTCCTGTGTACACTGCCATACCATTCAGTCATTTGGACTAATCTTTGTTATCTCGGGCCCCTCTTCCCCCTCACGCACCCCTGCAAGAGGAGGGAGAGAAGGTAGAGAAAGTAAAGAGATGATTAGGAAATGTTTTCATGCAATGTGCCCAAACCCCATCAGCACACTGCATAGCTGTGAGAAACAGATCTGTCTCGCCTCTTGGTGACTTTAAATCAGATGTGCGTGGGTGTGATCATTACCATTTTATTGGTGTGCTGAGTCTGTCCAGGGGAGATGACTCAGTAAAATCCAGACGATAGTCGTCCCTAGGAGGTGAGTCACGGTCATAGTTAATCTGTCAGTTGGTTTGCTTACTGACTTGCATTTTTACTTGAGTGACAGATGGTACCTTCTAACCAACCGTCCCTCCTACTGGAAGTCAGTCATTCCGTACAAAATACAAAAACCATCCTAAATGCATGGGTGGGCTAGCTTGAGGGCAGGCAATATGGTGTAGGCCAAAAACCTAACAGAAATGTTGAGCCAGTTGTGGCACGCTGGTGGCACGTGCATAGAATTGCAGCACTCGGGAGGCTGAGGCAGGGATCACCTTTAGGTTCAAGGCCAGCCTGAACTACATACTGAGACACTGTCTCAAAAAATAAAGCAGAAATGTAAAGCCATAAGCAGGCACTGAAGCTCACTTTGGCTTTGAAGGCTTTTGCCAAACCCAGTGAGCTTGAGTTAGTATCTGACTAACTTCAGGTTTGATTTGCTACAGGAGCATGGAAAGAAAGAAGGCATATTAAACCACCAGCATGGCCTGCGTGAATTGTTTCACATATGTTTCCCTCTGTCTGCTTGTGGAGAGATGGGTTGATTTAGCTCATATAGTCAAGGCTTGCAAGTCCAAACCTGCAGGGGAGGCAGGGAGGAGACCCACAGGGAGGAGTTGACACAGCAGTTTGATTCTGGAGGCAGCATTCCCTCCTTCTGCAGAGACTCCATCGGATTTTTTTTTTTTGAGGCCCAACTGACTGAAGGAAGCCCACTAACATTATGGAGAATGATCTGCTTTATGTCAAGGCTACTGACTCAAATGTTCATCTCATTTAAAAAAGTCTTTCGCAGGTCAAACTAACAGAGTACGAACAAAGAGGCATCTGAAAGAGTATCATCAGCTCTGGGTAATGGAGTTCCCAGCCATTTGTAATTGCTTCATTAAATGTGTCTCTATTGCTTGTATTTCTTACCATCAGAATGTATCATTTTAATAGAAATGAATACCTTCACAGCACCATACACACATATCTTACTAAATATCTGGTACTGTAACCTAGCCTAGACATTAAATATCATACCAAGTTTTAGGGGCTGGCTAAAGTCTACACCCCCAAAGATTATGTTCATATGTTGATGGATGGCCACTCATTTACACTTAGGAGTAAAAGGTCCTAGTGTGCTGTGGCACAAGAGGGTGACTATAGATTGCAGTTATGTACGTAGATCTCAAAAAGCCACAAGAGAGGGTTTTGAAATTTTTCCCAGGAGATGACATTTGTGGAGATAGATATGTTTAACTGCTACGTAGACATGTAAACATTTCATAATGTATGTTTGTATTGAAAC